ATACCTAAAATTTTGCAAAAATTATATGGAAGATGTTTTGGATCAATTGGTTATGGTATTTTTAAAGCAGCCAAACACAATGCAGATACAGTAAGGTATATTTATTCTTTGTGGATTTTTTTTGTCTCTTCATATCCTAGAGACAGCCAAGCTCTCCTGAATTTTTACAGGCATTTTATTTTTGGATAAGTGTCCTGCATGTCTTTTTTGTCTAAAAATTATCTGAGATTCAGACTCAAGGATTGACTGAGCAATCTAAGAGTTGAGTTCTTTAAAAAAAGAGGGCACATACCCAACACCAGTCAGTTGGGTTTATCATCATTGATCAAAAGGGCAGGACAAGGACATATGCAAGACAAAAACATGAGCTAGTCTACGCTTTAATGAATATTGTAGAAAGTATTCAAGTATTTGCTGACCTTATGGAAGACAATACTACTGTGTTAAAGTTCTGAGTACTGGTTACCAGATTTCTAGAAAGTCTTCACTTTAGGAAAATATGATCAAGAAATTGCATATTCAAAGCTTCAGATTAGCAGAATCCCCTCTGGTTTGGACAAGGCCCAGTTGCCCTCCTCTATATGGTAGCACTGGACCTGAGTACATTTACTCTATTTCTACCCTGTGTTTTACATTGGTAAGATAAAAACCAAACAAACTGATTTCAGGAATAAAACTTCTCAATTAATGATATGAAGTGTAAAAACATAGGTGAATTGAAAATGTCAAAACTACATATAAATTAGAGAGGCAAATTGGTAGAGACAAACACGTTTTTTCACCTGTCTAAAAACATGAGAATTGTTGCTGTCCTCATATACCTGAATCAATGTAATAAAAATGAAGACTGATGAGAGGGTGTAACTGGCCACTAGCCTAACCCATACCTTCTGGAAGTTAAGGAGACAATTCTGCTGACTCAGGTTTGAATCAGGGTTGTAGCTGTTTGTTGAGCTTTTTTAAAAACATTATCAGTTCAGTGTATAGGTTAACTGAGTACAACTACTTCTACAAATGTTCCTATGAAAACACAAAAGTTTTAAAGTGTGATTTCCAAATGTGACTACAGTAAGTAAAGGACTGAGAGGGAGACTACCTTAAGCAGTAAGTCTCGACAGTAAAAAGCACCATTATAGATGGCTGCACTGCAGTATTTGCTTTTCAAAGTCCACACGTGTGATAGATTTTTCAAGTCTGCAGTACTGTGCACACATGTATCAAGAGACTAGAACAAACCTTGAAATTAAAAAAGGAAAAACATGTGCAAACAAACTGCAGATGTGAAATTTTGTTATAACATGAAAACACTAAACTTTTTCATATACTACTTTTATAACCCTTTAACATGTAGAGAAGTTATACTAAGGAAGTCCAATGATTTTAACTATTAGAAAACTTGCCTGATAGCTACTGTCTTCTCAAATCTGTACTTTTGTTTAACCCCAACTACTGTGGATTCTCATAATAAGGACTTCAAAGGCAAGCAAGTTATCATGACTGCTATAAATAAATACAAGAACAAGGGGAAAGAACAATCTTTCTGCTTTCAGGTACTATTATTGCCCACTGATGAACAAAAAAAGAGTATGGACTTCCTACAGCTAAGCAATTATTAGGAATACTGATATAAACCATTGTTTTTAATAAATGTGAATTATACCTTTCCTCGTGTGCCTTGGCATAGCAGCAGCCTCCCCTCACTTTTCTGAGACCACTGCTAATAAAAGATTGAACACAGCTGTATGGACAAGCTCTATGCCCTGGAATGTGGAGCTGCTGGTCAGCTGAAAGGAGTTTTCTGGGGAGACTCTCATTTTGTTTCTCAAGCTCATGAACTTTTTCTTGTCAATGCTCAATCCCTTCTTCCAACTCCAGGCCTGACCCAGCCACTTGGGGCCGCCACCAACCTGTTCAGACTTTTTTTTTATCATTTACAAGCTGTATTAACTTGGTGGTCATTCTGGGGAAAATAATAAAAAAGATGAAAAAGAATGTGAAAAGTCAGCATAAAAAGCATTCTGTTGAAAGGAACATAATCACTGTGAAGACTTCAGCATAGAACCTGAATAATAAATTTCAGGTTTTGATATAACTATTACTGCCTGTGAAGAACTCTTTGAAGATAATTGAAACCACTGTGCAGCAATCTGCTTTATAGCACTGACAAATAACAGTTTCCTAAGGCTTATCATTTAAGGTTAGTAAAGGGAGGACACATATTTACTCCATATGGTGCTTAAATGTAATTTTTAACGCATGACCTTATGTAGGAACCTCGGCATGCTGTTAAGTAAAGTTACAGATTTGGGATGTGGTGGGGCAAACTATAAAAGCTACAATTCCACAGAACATTCAATTATTAAAAGAATGCTAATAATATGCAACATTCCAATTATATACAATTTCTAGTATATATTTCACGTCTTAAGTGGCTAAAATACATAAGTGGAGATATTTAAGAAGGTACTCGGGAAAAGGAGACTTAACAGTTCTCATTACCATACTCAATTTTATACTTGGCAAGTATTTCCAGTGTGCTTTGGAGAAGGAATAGTCAGCTGCAGAATATAATTAGATACGGAGGTTAAGGGCATGGTTGTCACCTGTCTTTAGAAGGATACAAATTTTGATTTTGGTATCTCAAGCGTTGTACTTTTGATTTCCCTTAGTTTTGATAAACATTGGTAAGCTAGAACAAAAGGCAGAGAGGGCACATGGGGGTGATGTAAAATGCATGAACAGAAAACATACCCAGAAGTGAATGAAAAAAACTTGGCATATAAAGAAAGAAAAGGTGGCTTTGATGAAAGAGACAAGTTCAAGACTTTACAAAGTAGATTGCACATCTTTGAGACCTGTATCTAGTTTACAGGAAATCTATTTTTGAAGGCCCAGAAAGAAAACTGAAAATAAGGACACACTTCATTTGTTTAAGGGGGTTGTTTTATTTTTTATATACTTGTGGACAGAAGCTTCTACTTAAAAGAACAAAAGTGAAACAAAAAAAATCCCTAATAACTTCAGGATGTCACAGAATGTTACTTGCCTGTAAGCAGGTTTTTGTTTACGTGGAGTTTTTTCAATGTTCTCCTGCAAATCCATTCCAAACTTCTAATTTAAAGGGTTTTGGCGAGGAATGCTGGAAAAGAAATTTGACTTGAGGAGTTAAGTTTTTTCTCTGGCAAACACCGTATTTTTTATTTTCTGTGCCATAAAGTATTAATTCAGGTATTCCAATTTAGACATTCTGTGTAATGCTACTTAAGTGGATTATGAGTGCATTTGGTAAGGCATCTCACAGAAACACAGGAAATGTCCTGTGGAATAAGCAAGGAATTCACTTGTTCCACCATCTTGGATTTGACAACAGTCTGACAGAAAAGATGGAAGTTATATCACGCTGGCCAATTTGTTCCTGACTCACTGACTACTGAGTCAAAAGGAAAGAATGCTTTGGACTTAAAAAAGTCATGACATAGTCCTATCTACAGAAGCAATATTTTCAGCTGCCCTTTTACGAATCTATTAGCTTCTGACCACACCTTGGATGCAGTATGACTTTATTAAGTACAGCACTATGTGAGCACAGAATCATAGCGCTTCTGGATTAATCAGCCCTCTTGCAATGCAGTAATACCATGAACAGCTCTGCTGAGCCCACACTGGTTTGCCAACATAGCACTAAATTTAATAATAGGGGTGGAATCTCACTGTATAGACACTTCTGATTCTAGAATGAAATTCCTGATGAATCAATAGGCTTCTACAGCCTCTTCTCCAGTTCCCAGAACACTCTGACAGCATATCTCCAAACCAGCTCCAAAGCAACAGACAGCGCTGTAGCTCTGTACATGGAGATCTAATACAGTCCACCACAAAGACATACGTACACAGACGTAACCAGAAACAAAAAAATTAATTCCAAAGAGTAATTTTTGCTATTGCTTTAAAAAGTACTCTGAGAGAAATAATTTTTAATTTATTGATGTTTTAAAGGGAAAAAGTATTACTGTAAGCTAAAATAAAAGTATTAACTTTTAGTTAATACTTTTAGTATTAACCTTTTAGTTAAAACATACCTTTTAGTTTTCTCCTCCTGCTCATTTGCATGCTGCTTGAGTAAGATGTGGCCATCATATACATGAAGAAATCTGTCCTCCAGTTCCTCTTGACTGATTTGTTACCTAGCTTGTTGAGCTTTTATATTCTGCACAGCTGATGATTCTACTCAAACCAAGACAACTTTAAATTACCTTCAATACATCCAACAACATGTAGTTCAAAGTCAAAACTCATTTTGAAATACTGAATTCCCCGCAATTTCTCAAGTAATTTTATATTTTACACTCATATGAGTCTGTTATTTTTTTTGGATTTATTGTCATTTTAATCATTTCCTTTTTCCTTCCTCTTACAGATTTAAAAACAAAAGCAATTAAAATTATACAGCAACCTGTTTACATACAACACAAAGGTAACAGTTTACCAAGTAACCAGGTTCTGCCAAAGATACTATCTAAAAATAAGCATTAGCAAAGGGATTCTTTCTAATCTGTTCCAAAGTTAACATATTATACTGAAGCTTGAAAATGTTAACTCATAATTCAGTAAATTTACTCAGGTACAAGACTAAGCCCAGTTGTTCCATTCTAATAGAAGCAGAGTAACACAGCACAATTGCATAATACTTTTGGTTCCCATGTTGTCAAATGGATCTGGCCTTGTCCTCAATTCAGCAAGAAAGTCCTCGTTTCTTCTGGAAGGATGAATGTTACAGCTCAATGACATTTCCAGTTTTTAGCATCTCACAGACACTCCCCTCTTATAACAAGCAACTTGAACATAGAACGGGTCACAGAATCTTTCACAATTTAACCCAGATTTTGACTGGTATTTGAACTTAATTTTGTGAGTGGCAACATCAGAAACATTTTTAGAAAGAAACTAAAGAAGCCACTGATCAAAGTCTGTAGCTGTAATAAATAACAGCTGGTACAAACCTTGTAATCCTTCAATTCCAGCTGGAGTTAGACCTGTATGTCTCACAGGCAGGTCCCCCACAGTTACATCAGCTGCAGCAGGCATGGCTTATCTATGGATAACAAAATTCAAATGAAATTCCTCTTCATCTGTTATTTAAACTGAGAGTAGAATGAACAATACACCATATGAAATGAAGGCAAAAGTTATGTCAGATTCACTGAAATGAGACTTCTGAATGCTCCTATCTAAACCAGATTGCCCAGAGGACAATCTAAACTCTTAAACTCTCCAGTTTAATTTTATGCCAGTTTTAATCCATTCACAAAGATATACAATAGCTTAAATTCAATTTAATATATGTACAATTACCTTTCTGAAGTTCTAGTTCTAATTCTGCTGTTTTCAGGAATCTTTGGGCTACGGCTGTATTTCCAAGTGGATGTGGGAAGGGGACCTGCAGGCTTTTTGTTCAGTTGGATTTTTTTTAATTGTTAGTTCATTTTAAGAGAGGTAAAAGCTTAAGGCATTAACTGGTAGATGAGTAATGCCATCTTCCAAGTTTTGACCGGGATTCTTTGAAACAGGTGCTGAGGGTTATGAAGTCATTCCAGTGCTGCCTGACGTTCACTTAGCCTTCTTTCAATCATTGTCATATAAGAAATTACTTTTTAAGACAGAGAGTCTCCTATGAATGATTCTCATAAATCTGAACATGATTCTATCTTGTGGCAACAGAAAGCTTAGTTACATGACAAAGTGACATTAGGAAAGTATTAATGTGAAAAAGTACTACATTTATTTTGGTGTAATATATGAACATACTTGTTAACAACTGCTGTTTCTTTCTTGTTTTCTGGTGCAGAAAATTGCATGTTGGTCACAGAGTCAAGTAATGCTGAAACAATAGGAAAAGGAGAGACATGAAGTCCTTTTGACAGTCCTATCCCCAAAACCATTGTTATACTCTTCAGATTATATAAATCCTTAGTCAATCCAAAACCATCTAGGACAGCATTGCGAAATTAACAGTGATGCTACTAGAGACTTGCATCAGAGGGCAGAAGCAACATGGTACAATCAACAGACATCCCATGAATATCTGTTAATTTGACCATAATCAAAAGTGCCGCCTAAACTCTTTCTTCCATCATAAATAAGTCTCCTTATGGCTTTGTTCTAAAGAAACAAAAAGGATTAACGGAAATCTAGTTCCCAACAAGTCAGTCTTGCTTTTAATATTTATTTTTTTTTATCACTAAAATTTATGATAAAATATTATTTCCAGACTTCACTGTTTATGAATAAACAGGAACACATTTTTCTTCCATGTGGAAAAAATGTTTCCTTATCATGACCATTGAAGTGAACTACAGTTGTAAACTTGCAATATGGTTGCAGTTTCAGTGTTGTCAGTGACAGAGAATACTACTCTGTTATGTTGATGTCCACACCACTCAGCTGATGGCACAACTGGCAACCAATGACAAATACACACCCACTGCTATCCAGCTCCTTTCTATCCTCAGCTCTTTTTGCATTGCTCTTACAAAATCCTCAAAACTTTTTTGTAATTGTTGAATTAGCTCTATCTGCAGTCATCAGCTTCACTCAGGTCTAGGTTCATTATTGTGGTTACTATTATATGTCCCTGCACCAGTACGGCTACAGCAACTGAGATTGAAGGGAAATGGAAACATTTACCTCCAGAGCATCATCTAAATTTGGTTCATGATGGTAGCAAGGAGATGCTACTATTATACATCTTTCTAGAATGTGGTTGTCCTTGCTTTCACAAATCAAAAATGACAAAGGCTTTTTCTGGGCCAGTTTCAAGAGACATCAAGCTAAACAAGTATTTTATCAGCACGACTTCACAATGTTTGTTGATCTATCAAAATCAGGCTTCAAAAACTCCAGTACAGTAACAGGCACAGACAAACGTTACTGTTTTTCACTATTTGCTAAAGAAACTTTACTATGAATAGCTACCTGTTATCTTCAATATGAGAAAAATCTACTCATTTAAAAACAGAGACAAAACAACACATGCTTGTCACTCAAATAAACAACTTTTGTCAGTAGTAATCCATTATTGGCTGCAGCAAAACCACAGAAATACTTGAGCTGTAAGCAAACTAATACAGTAGACATGCACACAAAGCCAGTTTTTACTGGCAACATGACATGACTTGAAGAGACAAAATAAAGCAACTTCAAATCTAAAACTTTCTTGAAAACTTAGAAGGTGAAATTTTCAAAAGAAAATGGAAGAATTGTTTCATTTCCATAATAAAGTGTCAAAAATTAAGCATTCAGCTTTTTTCTGTCCTGGCCACAGAAAAAGAAAATTAAGAAAAAAAAACCATATTAATTGGTTTTATCAGATACAGTGATTTTGGACAGAAATAGTACAAACATGCCTCCTGGTTTTAAGGAGGCCAACTATAATTACAGATTTAGAATTTGGCCTGGCAACTCAGTTGCCTGATTAGTAACATATCCATGACTTTAATAATCACTAATAGCCACCAGTTATGCTGCTGCTTTGAGAGAGGACACTTCAAACATCAAAGCACGTGTTACATATGTTGCAGTTCCTCTTTGAATATTATCTCAGTGTCAATCACAAACACTTAAACAAAATTACTTTTCCTTGCAGTCTAGTTCCAGCGTTATTTCTAAAAGCATATGAGATTTGTCCACGACATTCCATATTACTTTTGAAAGCATTTCCAAAGTGATTACACCTGACAAAACTGTACAGCAACACTGCTACAAAAGTTATAGTACTTAAAAAAGTGTAGCATTTCCTAAAAGAAAGCATAACAAAATGAGAGAGATATAAATTTGCATTTGCATCTGGACAGATCCACATGCCATCCTCAATCTCAAAATCTTAAACCAGGCTTTATTTCCAAGAAAGGATACCCTACAATCACTTCAGCACAGACTGTTCCTCAAAACTAGAGAAAAGAACCTAATGTACAAAGAGAGGAATATTCACCCCATCTCTGGGATTAATGTATAAGAAATTCAAGTTAGGTATAAGCAAGAATTTTCGATATAACTACTAAAATTAAAGAAACTGATCCTTTTATTACAAAATCCTAGTCCAGTTCACTTCTAGAGGGAATCTTAAAAAGGAAGTGGGAGAGACCACCCACCTATCTTAGCTTATCACAATGTATTTCCAGCCTACGTTCTCCCTCTATTGAGCCCTTAAAATATATATGTTTGCACTTTATTGGTCTTGTAACCTAAAATAATCTCATTTATTACCTGGTAGAAATACACACATATCATCTTTCAAATATCACGTGTTGCAGCCCTGTGTGTTTTGGGAGGTGGACAGGAAAAAAACCACAGAAGATATGGAAGATATTAGGAAAAGGGATCACAATATTCTGCTGTTGCCTGAGGGGAGAAACATCTCTCAGACCTATACGTCCTACTTCAACACAGAACAACCGTGTCTCGCCTTCAACACGTTTTACAAAGCTTCCCAGTTTCGATTCAGCCGCGCCAGTCCTGCGGTGACTGACAGGGCAGGAAGAGGCAGGGTCGCAGGGAAAGCAGCGTTTGCCTCATGAAGGAACGCCTACACTGCCCGGGCTGTCCCGCCCTTGGGCACAGGAGCTGAGCTCCCGCTTCAGCCCAGCAGTTTTTCCAGGTACAAACCACAGGCCTACACGGCTACTTTTAACCAAACGCTGCGGCTCCCAGCCTTTTCCCACAGGCACCGAGCGAGGAATCTCTCGGGTCTGGTACCGCCGCCCGCAGCGCGGGACCCTCCATCCCCGCTCCTCGCCTCTCCGGCCGGGAACCGCCCGCTCTAGGACACGGTGCCACGGCCCCGGGCAGCTCCCGCGCCGTGCCCAGAGGAGGAGAAGTTCCCCCCGTACTCACGACCCCCGCCAGCCCCGGTCTCCGCTCAGCGCTCCGTTAACATCTGCCGCTGTTGACCGGGCCCTTCCCCTTCCGGGCCGCCATGGGCCTGCCGGGACTTGGAGTTCGGGGCGGAGCCGCGCACGGCCCGCGGAGCCGCGCTCCTGCCGCTGCCGGCGGGAGCTGCGCGGGGTTCCCGCGGTGCTGCTCCGCTCCGGGCGGACGGCTAAG